AAAATCCTACATAAACTGCATGGTATTATTATTGACATGAATTTAAATCCGGCTGAAGTATAGTTATAATGTCTCTTTCCTTCGACTCCCTGACTAAGCGGTCTGAATGACTGTCACATTGATAAATCGGCATAATCTGGAAGTTGCCATTGCTACATTTTCTGATGTGCTCACTTACTGCTAAGTGGCAATATTCTTTATGGTTTATTTGCTGTCTGTTTTCCATAACTCTGTGACGGAGATTTTCAGTTTGGCCGACATAAAAAACTTTCGCTTTTTGTGCAGAGTAGAACGTATATAACGTTCGCGATTTACAATTCATCTGACATTTTATATTCCACGCTTTGCCGTTCTTCAGTTTGATATCAATTCCGGTCACTATGATTGCACATGTACCGCATCTTGTTTCTCCGCATTTTGTCACACTGCTGGGAGTTCTCTCGGAAACGAACCGGGCTTGTGTTAGTTGTTTCTTCAAGTTTTTTGGCTGCCGGCGGCTGACAATAAACTTCGTACTTTCCAGAATTGTTTTCATGTTCTCGGAGTTCTCTAGGAATTGCATGTCCTGTTTTATCTTATTGATTACTTGTGGGTTGTTGGGATTATGTGTCAAAACCAGCGGAAGGATCTTTGCGTTGTCATCTCTGTTTTTTGGTGTTTTAAGTTCGGCCATTGGTAGAGAGGTTGCTTTCTCTATTCCCTTTGTGATGAGGTTCTTAGGGTAGTTTTGTTGCAACAGGAATTTTTCGAGTTCGCGGAGTCGTTTTGTTTTGATGTGTGGGTCTGACACAATGCAACATATGCGACGAGCCAGGCTGTAAGGGATGTTGGTTTTCGTGTGTTTGGGATGACACGAGTTAAAGTTGAGATATTGGTTTGTGTCAGTTGCCTTGTAGAAGATGTCCGTATTCAACTTGTCATCTTGCTTGTACACTAACACATCTAGAAATGGCAGCTGGCGTTGTCAAATTCTACCGTGAAATTGATGCTTTCGTGGAGACTGTTTAACATAGCATGTGGTTTCCTCAGATCTTCCTCTGATTTGTTCCAGATTGTGAAACAATCGTCTAAATATCTCTGGAAAGCGCGTACAAATTCCTCCTTTTGTTCTCTACCAAATTGCGTTTCGAATTCTGAGTACAGTTTCTTTTCCAGGTATCCAAGTACGAGGGTCGCATAAGTTGGGGCCATTTTCGTCCCCATCGCTGTTCCCTGAATTTGTTGATATAATTTATTGTCGAAGTGGAAAGTGTTCTCTTTCAGGACAATTGTAATCGATTCCATGATGAATTCTTTAAAAAACGATCGGTTGAGAGAATTTCCAAAGTTGTCAATCCAGTATTCGATAGCTGTAAGGCCGAGTTCATGCGGAATACTCGTATATAGGTTGACAACGTCAAATGATACAAGGAGTGTGTTATCATTGACTGTTTCTGGGAGGTGGTTTAAAAAATCGAGGTCATCGCGGATGAAACTTGGTACATGTTGACACAGGGGCTTCAAAATTATGTCTATCAAATTGCTCAATCGATGTGTGGGTGACGATGGTAATCAATATGATAAAACAGGACATGCAATTCCTAGAGAACTCCGAGAACATGAAAACAATTCTGGAAAGTACGAAGTTTATTGTCAGCCGCCGGCAGCCAAAAAACTTGAAGAAACAACTAACACAAGCCCGGTTCGTTTCCGAGAGAACTCCCAGCAGTGTGACAAAATGCGGAGAAACAAGATGCGGTACCTGTGCAATCATAGTGACCGGAATTGATATCAAACTGAAGAACGGCAAAGCGTGGAATATAAAATGTCAGATGAATTGTAAATCGCGGAACGTTATATACGTTCTACTCTGCACAAAATGCGAAAGTTTTTATGTCGGCCAAACTGAAAATCTCCGTCACAGAGTTACGCTACACAGACAGCAAATAAACCATAAAGAATATTGCCACTTAGCAGTAAGTGAGCACATCAGAAAATAATAATACCATGCAGTTTATGTAGGATTTTGTTATATATTTTCATATCTGTGATTGTGTGAAATATTTATGTAAATAATTACCATTAAGTAATCCAACACCACACGTGTAGTGACGTAGTGGCAAACCAGTGAAATATGTAAATATAGGATATCACAACTCATTTCTTACAAAGTATTCAGCACCTGAGGAGCTTTCAATAAAGCGAAAACGTTTGTGCAAAATGATTAGATTTAGTGTTGTTTGATATCCTTTGTCTGATCTTCATTGCTTCCGAGACAAACTTTTTATATATACAGCTACTTATGTTATCAACCTACACATTTTTTGATATTATTACTGTAACAAAAGGATGGCAGCTCGAAGATCAACTCGTAATCACAATGCGGACGAACAATCCGAACCAGTATGCAATGAACTCCTAAGCGCAATCTGCTTAAAGCTTGACAGTATCAACGACTCACTACAAGTTATCATCAAGAACCAGCAAAGTGACCAGCAAAAGAAGGATGACCAATACGGAGTCATTGTTTCATCAGTACAAGACATCCAAAATAACATGTCTATCACCATGAAGAAATCCGCCGAAACAGAATGGAAAGAAACGATACTCAAGAGCAAAAAGCGCGTAATCCACACGTGGAGACGACATTTAAACAAGCGCAAGCAGCCCTACTGGCACAGCCTCAACAGCGAAAACACTGCGAACATCTACGAAACATGGTCCAACAAGCAGAAACCAACTGTGCCAAAGAAATTCCTGATGAAGGAAATCCCAAACGAAGACCCCAACGAGCGAGCTATTCGCAAAGAAACAGCGATGAACGAATTCCAAGCCGAAATCCGACTGCAAAAGGTCCGCGCAGAACGCCACAGATCAAACTACAAGAAGGTTGATGAAGAAATGGCCAAATTCCTTCAGAATAGTTTCAGCGGAAACGAGCTTGCTGAACTTGAGAAACTATGGGACGAAGACATCTCGCACGAAGAAGCAAAATCACAGTCAAAATGGGAATCAAAAGAAGAATGGCTCGAAAAATACGATCAGCAATTCGATAACGAAGACATGATCAAGCCGAAAAATTCCTCACCACGTCGCCAACGCGATTCTCGCCACCAAAACAGATCACCAACAACGCGGGAAAAACAACACGCTCGACCTGAACACTCTACCGACCGCTCAACTCCGAGATCATTAAATCATGAAACGAACAATAACGAGAAAAAAACCAAAAATAGCCTGCCAAGTAACCCAACAAAACGTTTCCCTCACCAGCCAAGTCAGCGCCCCGAGAATTCGAACAAGAAAAATTCGCGCTACAATTCTCATCAGCCAAATTAACGCTACGAGACATCGAACATGAGAAACCCGCATCCTTCCCAACGATCAAGCCAGCACCACGAATCTTCCAACAAGATGCGGTACATGTGCAATCATAGTGACCGGAATTGATATCAAACTGAAGAACGGCAAAGCGTGGAATATAAAATGTCAGATGAATTGTAAATCGCGAACGTTATATACGTTCTACTCTGCACAAAATGCGAAAGTTTTTTATGTCGGCCAAACTGAAAATCTCCGTCACAGAGTTATGGAAAACAGACAGCAAATAAACCATAAAGAATATTGCCACTTAGCAGTAAGTGAGCACATCAGAAAATGTAGCAATGGCAACTTCCAGATTATGCCGATTTATCAATGTGACAGTCATTCAGACCGCTTAGTCAGGGAGTCGAAGGAAAGAGACATTATAACTATACTTCAGCCGGATTTAAATTCATGTCAATAATAATACCATGCAGTTTATGTAGGATTTTGTTATATATTTTCATATCTGTGATTGTGTGAAATATTTATGTAAATAATTACCATTAAGTAATCCAACACCACACGTGTAGTGACGTAGTGGCAAACCAGTGAAATATGTAAATATAGGATATCACAACTCATTTCTTACAAAGTATTCAGCACCTGAGGAGCTTTCAATAAAGCGAAAACGTTTGTGCAAAATGATTAGATTTAGTGTTGTTTGATATCCTTTGTCTGATCTTCATTGCTTCCGAGACAAACTTTTTATATATATATATATATATATATATATATATATATATATATATATATATATATATATATAATATTATATGTAATATATATATATATATATAATATATATATATATATATATATATATATATATAATATATATATATATACACCCATTTGCAAAAACGTTGGCCGCAGATAGATAGATAGATAGATACTCGAAGTCTAATTAGAATTGCATATGATTACATTTGCATGGGATTTCTATAATATTACACAACATAATTATGCAATTCTAATTAGATTTCGAGTATCTATCTATATATCTATCTGCGGCCAACGTTTTTGCAAATGGGTGTATATATAATATATATATAATATAATATATAATAATATAATATAATATATATAATAATATATATAAATATATAATATATATATATATATATATATATATATGTATATATATATATATATATATATATATATATCCTATTCATATTATATTTCACGTACCAGCCTTACGCACCCCTGTAAAGGCCACATCACCTCTTAAATAAGTTATTTTTTATACTACAAACCCCCTTTCAGAAAAAGCCACTAAGGTACCTCCTTCCCATGAAATCAAACTCTTCCAATATACCTAAACACCTATAATGCAAAGAGATTGCACTATTATTAATAGAGGATTCAGGGGCCGGTTGTATAAAAACGTAGTTAACTTTAACTATGATTAGCGCTAATCACTGTAGTTAAATCCTTAACTATGATTAGTTAACTACACGACTTAACTGCGTTGCACAAAACGTAGTTAGTCGGATGATTAATTAATCCCGTATAGTTAACTTGCGTGGAGCTTGCGTGGGGTTGTTAAACAGAGAAATAACATGAAGTATCTCGTAGTTATTGACCGCTATTATTCATTTTGAACAAGACTGTGGACTCGTGTTTACAAAAATTGACAGTATTTTGTTCTAAAATATTGAAAAAAAGGAAATAAAACAAGGAAAAAATTCAAAATAAATCAACGAAAATGGCGCTCTTAATATAAAAAGGTCGCGTTGAGTCAAAATACCGGTTGCAGTTGAAAATGGAGATGGCCAATCTTTGCTAGGATCGCAATTTGGCATCGACACGTCTCCCGAAGCAAAAATATACTCTGTTGCTGCCCAAATGACAAAAATAAAAGCATATTGAACGTTTACAAGCTTCGACGGGGCCTTTTCTGAGTGTATAACGTTTGACAACCTTGGTATGTGTTGATTTTAATGTTTTCTCACTCCTTGAAAGCTCAAGACGCCATTTTTAACCACGATTTGGAAAGTTAACGATGCCCTTGAGGATAGTTAACTTTAACTACTTTTTAACTGCAGTTAAGGCTAACTACACTTTTATACAACCAGCTTAACTACGTGATTAAAGTTAACTACTTTTTAACTCTTTTTAACTACTTTTTAACTGCCGTTAGCGCTAACTACGTTTTTATACAACCGGCCCCAGGCATGAAACTTTTATTGTGATACTAAGGTAGATTATTTTTTTGTTCATGAAGTGACTACCATTTGATCAGGGCCGTAGCTAGACCGCTTAATTGGGGGGTGTATATTCATATATTCATGTTTATATACCATAGGAACAATAGCACACAAAAGAAATCATTCGGGCATAAGACGAACATATGAATATGCACCCCCCCAATTAAGCTTCTGGCTACGGCCCTGCATTTGATATGTCACCTGTGAATACAACATGTCATTGTAACTGAATCTAATCATAGTTATTAGGAAATAAACATGGTTAGGAAGGCTAGTTCAAAATCATGCTTATTTTCTAGCTAATACAACAGGAATTCACATGTACTCTCATGTTCATTCTTAACTTACCAGTAAAATATAGCTGGAACAATTTTTTATTAATTTTATACTTGGGATAGAGTCCAATTTCCATACTCTGAAATACAGTACATTATTTCCAAATAAAATATCTAATCAATCAATGTATTTAATGCTGTACAAATTATAACTGTTTTTTTAGGATATTTGACTGGATTTGATGGGGGACAATACAATGCCCAACTATCGATGATTGTGTTATAAATACTGCTGACATGACAGGCAAGAAATCTGTGGACATTCTTAGAAAGGTATTTAATCACAATAAATTTCGAGGAAAAACATGATTAATGCAACAAGCCTGAAAACAGTTCTCGGTTTTCAGTACTAACACCTGAAAACGCAGTTTTTCCTTTAAGGTTGACATAAAATGTACTATGAACATTTAAGGACAACATTGCAATATACAGGGCTATAGTTTCAACTTTCAGTTTATTTGCAAGAAACATTCTTCACTGGACACAATGTTCATATTTTCAAGATTTTTGCATGATATTTTATAGCAAGTACACTAATGTGTCCATATAAAGTTTGACACAAACTCTTCAAACCTATCACAAACAGAAAAATTGATGCGCATTTGTTCTGATGTTTGGATAATTTATCATCTGCTTACTAAAATATATGCAAATTCACTTATTGTGTACTACAAAGTTATATTTATTTATTGAAAACTCAATGATGACTCTTTTAATAGCTTGTATTTTTGTAAACAGAAAACCACACATTACATATATAATTCTGATATGGTATTTTAAACCTTAGTAATTAAAAGATACAGGCCATCCGCTCTATTACGTCTTGTCCACCCTGACCATGGGGAAAATGCTCTTAATAATATGTGTCACTAAAACACTGTCATCCTCATTAAGCCCAAGATATGATAAAACAATTGCTTTGTCCACTTCACAACCCTCCTGTTGCACGAAGCCAGCCTTTACCTGAGATTCTAACATGGCTCGTCTCTCCTTCACTTCCTTACCAGATGGTTTATCACCTTCAAAACAGAAAATATCAATAAATGTGAAATTTCAATAAATATTCCACATAACTGATAAAGAGATGTATCTAATTAGGGGTAGGGCAGTGGGGGAAGTGCACACGCACTGATGAAATGGTAAAGCACCATTTAGGAAAACCCACACTAATGCATTTATACAACTTCTAATTGCATACATACCAACCAGAAATCGTTTAGAATTCGGTTGACTCAAACACTTTGAGTTGGGTGTGAGGTCGTGTTTTATTCCACGTCTGGCATCAACACAATCTTTTTGTACATTTTCTGCATTGTCTGAACACCGAGAGATCTGATTAATGACATCCTTGTACAGATTTCTGCGTGCCTTCTTAGGTGTATGTGACGTTATTGCTGTAGCTCAGCCAATCCGGGACAGCCTGGGTCGAGCATGCGGGAGAGGGAGCTTGTAGGGCGAGCATACTAAAATGGTTGCCGAGCTTTTGTTTGTAAAACCTTTTCTTTTGTTTATATACTCAGTTTAAACAATAAAACGTTACATGGTGTCAGGAGTAAACCGAATTTTAGAATGTCGGGTCCCGAGGAGGCCAATCATGATGAGATTGCTGAACAAAACGCTGCAACAACACAGCCACAAGTACAAAGTTGTCAGATGTTTATAGTGAACTTAAGCAAGTGACGTTTTTAACAACAGAAACGGCATGAGTAACGTCAAAAGACTGGGTCAAGGATTGTGATTGGTGGAAAACAAAAACTTTACTTCCGGTCAACGTACGTGTTGTCAAAAACGTCACTTGCTTAAGTTCACTTATGTCCAATGTGCCACTTCCGCACAATCTGAGCGTGAAAGGAAACCTTGCAAAGAATTGGAAACAGTGGAAACAGGTATGGAAAGCTTACGAAACTGTCACTGATTTAGCCAAGAGAGACAGTTCTTATAGAGTAGCAACGTTTATAACATGTATTGGATCCGAAGCACTCCAAATACATATGGGATTGCCGTTTGCAAGCGACGAGGAGAAAAATGATATCACTACAGTGATGAAGCTTTGGGACGATTATTGTCTCGGTAAGACCAATGTCATTTATGAGAGATATAAATTCAACAACCGAGCCCAAGAGCAGAATGAAACTATTGATGAATATGTAACAAGTCTACGCTCCTTAGTAGAGACATGCGAATTTCAAAGTTTAAAAGACGATTTAATTCGCGACAGAATTGTCTGCGGAATTCGTGATAATGGCGTGCGGCGGAAGTTGCTGCAAGAATCTAAGCTAACTCTGGAGAGATGCGTTGATGTGTGTCGAGCAGCAGAAGCGACGAAAAATCAACTCAAGGATATAGCTAACGTCCAAGGGGCAGAATCACCAAATGATAGCGTCTACAAAACCGATACTCAAAATCAACATAAAGCAAACAAATGGGATTCCCGGAAAACTAGAGATGGGAAAGGCTGCAAGTATTGTGGTAAACAGCACGAGAATATCAAAGAGAAATGCCCTGCATTCGGTAAAATCTGTGCCAGGTGTGGCAAGCAGAATCATTTTGCTGCCAAATGTAGAAGCAAGCCACTTGTTGACCACAGAAACGTGAATAATCTTAGTGACAGCTCAGAAGAGGAATTGTTTACTGTTTCTGCTGGCGACAACACCAAAAGTGGAAATGCCAACTTTGACAAGAAGATTTATGCAACCATGGAGATCAGCGGGAAGCCAGTTAAAATGCAAGTTGACTCTGGTGCTACTTGCAATATCCTCCCAAAACACCTTTTACCACCAAACACAGAGATCCAAAAGAAAGCTAAAGAGCTCATCATGTACTCCAAGATCAAAATGACAACCTTGGGAACAGCAAAAGTAAGTTTTCGCAATCTTAAGAACAGTAAGAAGTATCGAGCAGAATTTGTGATCATTGAGGGAAATTATACACCAATCATAGGAGCCAAGGCTGCTCAGCAAATGAACTTGATTGTTGTTCAAAAACAGAATATTTTACATGTAAGCACAGAAAATGTTGCCAAATTGCCTACTGAACATAATCTGACTAAGCAAGAAATACTAAGCGAGTATTCTGATGTTTTCAATGGCCTGGGAAAGATGGATGGCAAATTGCATTTTTTAGTTGATGAATCGGCCAAACCTGTTGTCATGGCCCCACGGAGAGTGCCCATTGCAGTAAAAGAAAAGCTGAAAGCAGAGTTGGATCGACTCGAAATGATGGGAGTGCTTACAAAGCAAGAAGCACCAACCAAGTGGGTATCTAGTTTAGTTGTCACTGAGAAGGCTAATGGTCAAGTCAGAGTCTGTATCGACCCCCAGCACCTTAACAAGGTACTGAAACGAGCGCACTACCCCTGCCGGTAATTGAAGAAGTTCTTCCAGAGTTAGCCAATGCTCGAGTTTTCAGTAAAGTTGACCTGAAGGACGGTTTTCTACAAATTGAACTTGATGATGAGTCAAGTGAGCTGACAACCTTTCAAACACCCTGGGGCCGTTATCGCTGGCTTCGACTGCCCTTCGGAGTTGCCCCAGCCCCTGAAAACTTTCAGCAAAAGCTTGATCAGAACTTAGAGGGACTGAAAGGTGTGTATAAGATCGCAGATGACATTCTCATCATTGGCCAGGGACCCAACTCAGAGAAAGATCATGATGCAAATCTGAGAAATCTGTTGGAGAGATGCCGTGAGAGAGAAATCAAGTTAAATCCTGCAAAGTTTGAGTTCAAGTGCACCAGTGTACCCTTCATCGGACATACACTAACCCAAGAGGGATTAAAGCCTGACCCGTCTAAGATTGTTGCAATCACTAAAATGGAAAAGCCACAAAATGTCGAAGCAGTGAGGCGACTCATTGGGATGGTGATGTATTTATCGAAGTTCTTGGATGGACTTTCCTCTGTTTGCGAACCACTGCGAAGATTAACACAAAAGCATGCCACTTGGGAATGGAAAGAAGAACAGGATGCTGCATTCGAAAAGATCAAAGAGCTAGTTTCTACTACACCAGTACTGAAATATTTTAACCCAAGTGAGCCAGTCCAAGGCGAGGGAGATGCCTCCTCCACTGGACTGGGTTTCGTCCTTACACAAAGCAGCCAACCAGTAACATTCGCCAGCCGAGCACTCACCCAAGCAGAGACCAGATACTCTCAAATTGAAAAGGAACTTCTGGCTTTAGTCTTTGGTCTCGAGCACAATCATCAGTATGTATATGGAAGAAAAATTACCTTATGGACCGACCACAAACCACTCGTGGCAATATCGAGGAAATCCTTAGCGACAGCCCCCAAACGCCTGCAAAGGCTTCTACTCCGCCTGCAACAATACGACACAGCTATTTACTACAAGCCAGGGAAGGAGATGTATGTGCCAGATACATTGTCCAGAGCCCATCTGAAATCCTGTGAGAGATCTAAGACAGAAGATGAAACCGAGCATGTCCATGTAGCAAATTTCTTACCAATGTCAAAATCACAGTTCGAGGAATTACAGAAAGAAGCAGAAATTGATACCTCAATGAAGAAATTAATGGAAACCATCAGGAAGGGTTGGCCAGACCAGAAAAGCCAAGTACCGAGCGACCTTCATCCATATTATAGCATAAGAGATGAATTGTCGGTCCATGAGGGAGTGGTGTTCAAAGGTCAAAGAGTCGTCATTCCGCTGCGCTTACGACAAAAGATCAAGGAGAAGATCCATGCGGCGCATATTGGCATCCAGGGCTGTTTAAGGCGAGCCCGAGAGGTGGTCTATTGGCCAGGCATGAACAAGGACGTAACAAGTTTCATATCCCACTGTGATATTTGTGCAACCTCGCAGAGCGCCCAACCCAAAGAACCACTGATGGCCCATCCAGTACCCAGTCGACCGTGGGAAAAGATTGGTACGGACATTTTCACATACAATAACAAAGATTATTTATGTACCGTAGACTACTATTCTGATTATTTCGAAGTAGATCAACTGAGCAGCAAGAATGGAGAAGTAATCATCAAGAAATTAAAGAAACATTTCGCAACTCATGGTATACCTGATGTACTACAGAGTGACAATGGCCCTCCCTTTTCCTCCAACGATTTTTCTTCCTTTACAGCTGAATATGAAATCAAGCACACTACCAGTTCCCCCAAGCATCCACAAAGTAACGGTAAAGTGGAAAACGCAGTTAAAGTCGCAAAGAATTTGCTAAAGAAGACCCAACAATCCGACGGCGACTACCAACTGGCATTACTCATCTGGAGAAACACCCCAACAGAAGGACTGAACAGTTCGCCGGCGCAAAGAATATTTGGCCGTCGCACTAGAACACTTCTGCCTACGGCTAGCAAACTCCTAAAGCCTAAGATTATGTCTACCGTTAAGAGTAAGCGGACAAGACAACAACGCCAAGAGAAGTATTACAATCGGAATGCAACCAAACTACCAGCTCTGAAGCGGGGTGATATTGTGCGAGTATTACTAAACCCCGAAACCAAGCCAATTCGATGGCATAAAGCGAAAGTTCTTGAACAAGTTAGCAGCGGTCCTACAGAATCATAACTGAAGATGGTAGATTATTTCGGAGAAACAGAGTACACTTGCGCCCAAGCACAGGTAAATTTAATCAGCAAAGGGACCAACGGAGTGATGATGAGTATGAACCAAGTCCTGAGATACAAACACCAATACCACCAGTAGAAAACCCAACCGAGCACTCAACAACACCCCCACCCATCGAACCGGAGCCAGAACCACCGAACTTAAGACGGTCACAGCGAACTGTTAGATTGCCAAGCCAGTATAAAGACTTTATTATGGGTTCTTGAACAAGTTGTCTGGACTGTCTAGCACTTAGGGAAGTTAACGTTAGATCGCTTAAGTAACTAAAGTATATATATATAGATATTTAGTTGACATTAACTTTTATAGAGGAAAGAGGATGTGACGTTATTGCTGTAGCTCAGCCAATCCGGGACAGCCTGGGTCGAGCATGCGGGAGAGGGAGCTTGTAGGGCGAGCATACTAAAATGGTTGCCGAGCTTTTGTTTGTAAAACCTTTTCTTTTGTTTATATACTCAGTTTAAACAATAAAACGTTACAGTGTACTTGTGAGCACTCTTCCAGTTTCACATGAAGCAATTAGGAGTCATCGACTTCTTCATCTGAACAAGCATTTATATTTCATATTATGCATAGGTGTGCATGACAAAAATAGCTGAATTGTTTTGTCAAAAAATGTTCGATTTACAATAACTTTGCACACTTTAATAATGTTATTTGAGGCAAACCAAATTGCATTTATTGATTCACACAGAGTTCAAAATACAATTACACACTTAATTGCAACAATTAATGATATTATCATGCAAATAAATTATATTACTATATTTAATGAAATAACAATTCACTTCTATATAATAAAAAATGACATTATTAAAAAACTTACCATCAATATGAAGTGACTGAATCGATGTATTTAATTCTTCCAAATCATTTGTTACTGAATGATCATCATCAGGGCTGGAAGCCATTTTGGGCCCAATAAAAGAGTAAAACTCGTGTCATTCACAGCTAATTTACTAGATCTTTAGATGCAAATGGAGCAGAAAAGAACGAACTTTATCCTAATTTATCAATTAGGACATAAACCGTAATCATAATGTTGGTGAAATGCCTCCTCCAGTTCTACAGAGAACAAGAAAGGTACAACTTCGATTAGTTCTGTTATCCCCCAACCGGTGCGGAGCACCGTGCGAGGGTACTAATTCCACCCGGAGATTAGGAATTACACCCGGGACCCGGGAGAACATAGCGTAATCCAAAGTTGCCCAAATGTCATGGACGTTCAATGGTCATGGTACTTGGGCGCATGAGCGAAATGCGAACGAGTGTAGACTGGTAATAAGCAACTTCCTGATTGGCTAAGACGAAACGTTTGTGTTTCAGTGAAAAACGTCAGCAGTTTAAGTGTCATTTTGCAAACTTTTTTTAAAAAAAATGTTTCGAAAACAAAATATGAAATGTGGAATCAAATAACAGATAAAACACTGGAAAGAGTTTAAAATATTATCAGAACTGGAGGAATTAGCGGTGAAAAGGAACAACTCGATTATAATCCTTGAAATGGTAGGAGTCTGAGTTCATTAATTCTCAAAGTGCTCAATTAAATTACCATATGTCATTCTCAAAATTCTTTGGTATATGTATTGGTATATGTATATGGTATTCTTTAAAATATTAATTGTTTAAAAAACTAGCGTGCAAATCATATCTTCTTTGCCTCTCAAAATCATTATACCCTCACAGATCTTATGACGATCTTGTGGCAATTTATCGAGAAATTGCATCAGTTGCAGGAATCGGAAGGTTTACATCTGGCTAATAAGCTTCGAACAGCGCATATCAAGTGAAGCCCCAGAAGATGAAGGTAAATCTTGCGGCGCAGGCGCTCAGTTAGAGTGTTGCTGATGCGTTAGAATGCTGTGAAGGTAAGCTGAAATTACCACAATTTCAGGGATGTGGTCCAACAGTGAAGTTTATTCGTATTTTTGATCGCCTGTTTGATGTTCTGAATTCCAGAAACCCGCTGGCGAAGAATTACAAAGCGCCAATCAGGAGATCGAATTACCAGTACACGAAGAAGTTTCTGGACCAGGCGAGCGAGTACATTCGAAATCTGAAAGATCCAGAAGGCGTAACAGTTTTCAAGACAAGAAGGAAAACGGGATTTCTTGGTTTCCTTATTTGCATCAAATCAGTTTTGGGATTGACTGACGATCTGGTTATGATTGAGAAACCAGTCCTGGATTATCTCTTGACGTACAAGATGAGTCAAGATCACTTGGAGTTGTTCTTCGGTGCTGTGCGAGCATGCGAAGGGTGGAATAATAATCCAACCACACGCCAGTTTGTAGCCGCGTACAAACAACTGCTGATGAGACACAATATTGAAGGAGGACGTGGAAACTGCATCGCACAAGATGACACGGAAATATTGAATGCTCTTCAAGACCAGTGTGAAATTGACGAGTCATGCACTGGGATTTCAGATGTGACCATTGCCAGAAGATACGACTTAGAGTTGAGACAGCCAGCAGCCGTCGATCAGGTTTATTGTGTGTCTAATGTCATAGAACTGTCGGAATACAAAGAGGCTGCAATATCATACATCGCTGGGTATGTGGTGAAGATGGTAATGAAAAAGATCAAATGTACGAAATGTACAACGGTTTTGACGACGACCGAAGAGGAGATTCCAGATTTGTTCGTAACGTGGAAGTCGAATGGTGGTCTGATATTGCCATCACAAGGCGTTATCAAGATCTGTGAAGAAACGGTGAAGTGCATCGTAAGACTGCTGAACTCAAATCAAGGTGGTTTACCACA